ACTACGTGGGAGGGGGAATGGGGGTCTCCCATATGGGCGTGGGGGTGTCTACGTGGGAGGGGGAATGGGGGTCCCCCATATGGGCGTGGGGGTGCCTACGTGGGAGGGGATATGGGGGTCCCCTGCTCACAGGGACCCCCCATTCCCCCAGCCAAGGATTTCATCCGGCAGCTGCTGCAGCGGGACCCCGAGACGCGCTACACGTGTGAACAGGCCCTGCAGCACCCGTGGTGAGCGCCCCTCCATGGGACGGGAGGGGGTGGGGGGTCCCCCTCCAGAGCCCCCTGACCTTTCACCTCTGACCCCCCCAGGATCTCGGGGGACACGGCCCTGGACAAAAACATTCACGGCTCCGTCAGCGAACAGATCCAGAAAAACTTCGCCAGGACTCAGTGGAAGGTGAGCCCCGGACGCCTGGGTCCCATTCCCCCACCCCAGACGCCTGGGTCGCATCTCTAGAGGGTGGGTGCGTTGGGGGTCCCCCTAGGGGCTCGCCGTCCCGGACGCCTGGGTCCCGTCCCCAGAGGGTGGGTGCGTTGGGGGCCCCCCTAGGGGTTAGCCGTCCCGGACGCCTGGGTCCCATCCCGGGGGGGCTCACGCAGTGTATTCTCTGTGCCCCCCAGCGAGCTTTCAACGCCACGTCCTTCCTGCGCCACATCAGCAAGGTGGGGCAGGGCCCCGAGGCCGACGAGCCGGCAGAGGAGGCGCCGGGGGGGCCGAGCGGGGACTGGTGACCCCAGAGGTGAGAACGGGGCAGGGGGGATGATTGGCTCCGCCCCAATCTAGCCACGCCCATATACCCACCCAGGCCACGCCCCCGGCACACTCTTGCACCTGGCCGCGCCCCCCGTCTAGACACGCCCCCAGCGGAGCTCCACTGGCCACGCCCACAGAGCCCCCACACTGGCCACGCCCCATCTCTCCCTGGTTTAGCTCCGCCCCCCCAAACAGGGGCTGGCCACCAGAGAGGTGAGAACAGCCCCCCCCACAGGGCCCCCCCTTGGCCTGCTCCCCCCAGTGCTCATGGTCTCTTCCCCCCTTTTCTCCCTGCAGGTGCTGGCATCTGCATGAGCCCAACTGCATGAAGGACCAAACCCCAGACCCAGCCGCCCGCCAGTAGCCACCTCTGGGGCTGAGTATCCTCCGACCACAGCCCCCCCCCCGCCTCTCCCAACTCACCCGCTGGGCCCCCCCCACCCCACTAGCTCAGGGGGCGACCAGAGAGAGCTGAGGCATGG